CGGTCAGACTGACCCTAAGAATAAAGAAAAGAACCCTTCTAGTGTATGTTTCTAAACCAGTTTCACTTAATATATCCCTAGCTGCATTGCATGGATAGTTGCGGCCCAAGACCAATTTTGTTTCATCACTTTGCCCTTGAAATTTTTTTTTAATTAAATTTTTTTGTATCTTCTGTTTTCCTTTTAATCCTTATTCCAGTTTGGTAGCATAATAACAGTGTCCTTCTGCCTTAAAATCCTTACACAAGATCCCAACCTTGACTTGAGTTTAATGAAGTTCGGTTTGTGAATTATACAGAGCTAATTGTTGACCCCCAAGCACAGCTCAAAAGTTAATTCTTCCCTAAATTTCTCCTCCTACAGGACAAGGGAGAAAAGAGTGACACCAGGATACAACTTGGCATCCGATCATGCACATTCTTGCTTTTCAAGCTAACTATTCCATTTTGTCCTGGATTGAGCCAGGACAGAATCAATTTTCCTTTGGTAATTTTTCTTTTCATTTAAGTCCCTTCTAAGTAACTGCAGCTCATGAAATTACCAGCTTGTTTTTCAGCCAGTGTCTGCTTCTAGGACTGATAATGCTTCATGTTTACAGTTACTGCTGGAGAATTCAGAACCAAGGCCACTGCCTGGTTGTGCTAAACATCTTATACTCTGGAATCAAAAGGGAGGAAAAGGGTCACACCTGCAGCCCTCCTTTGGGGAGGAGCAGACCAGACCGGTGACCAGAATTGACCAAAGAAATGATTCTGTCCCATATACGTCATACTTGGTATAAATCTGAGGGATCACAAGGGCCCAGCTCTCTCTGTCCATGGCTGGCATCCTGGGAGGGCTGCGTCCGTTCTTCTGCCTTCGATCCTGATCCAGACTTCCCTGAATCCATGTTTTCCTGCATCCAGGTCCTGTCTGCTGCTGAGTCTAAGAGTTCAGTCCGGGACTTTCCCAGGGCCTGCCCTGCAGCCTGGAGGAGGATGATGTGAGCATTATGGAGGGGGCGCAATAGTGATTTTGTACATATTGTTCGTATGTATTTGTAAATATTTGTATACGTCACTATTTTATTTTTTCATCACTACTGTTTAATTAAAGCAGCTTTAGTTTAGTTTCCAACCTGGTAAGTCTCTCCTTACTCCCTTTTCTTTCCATTTCTGGGAAGGGAAAGGGAATAGTAGAGACTCTAGCATTTGTTTAACTCCTGGCCTGGTGTTAAACCTTGATACATTTCCAAGTCATCGAGTACACACTTTGCTGCAAACTACTTTTATTTTACTTACTTTTTAATTCGTTTATTAATACCTTTGCAAGCCTAGCGCCAGCAAGTCCAGAGTGTAACGAGGCTGGAGAAACACGTGCTCACACTGCCCTGCCTCATAATCTGCTTCCTGTAGGCCGGGATTAGTTTGCATTTTCATCTGTGAAGTACCTGACGTTGCAGCTGCTTCTGCCTGACCGTGAGAGGTATTGGGACGTGCTCGCCGTGGCACTCTTCCAGCTTTATGCGAACGCTGAGAAGCAGTCGTGGCCGAAAGCGGACAGTTCAGTATGACTCGGTTAGGTTTTTAAGGAGGAGGTTGGGTGACCTGTGACAAGTGTTTCAATTTCACCACCTCCCGCTACCACGCAAACGGCTGAGCCGCCCCAGATGGCTCCGTCTGCGCTTAGCAGATGCATTTATACGTTTAAAAATTTTTTAAAAAAACCAAAACAACAATAAAATAAATAATTCCCGGGAGCAGGGCGCTGTGGCTCCGCAGCGCCCGCAGCACACTCTGCTGGCGGCGGCCGAGCGGCGG